TTAAGTTATTTATACTGCCCAACCAAATGTGCCTTGTACTGTTATCCATCTTACCCCCCTAAAAGCTCAGTTGTGTGCTACCCAACACTATAACTGGGATGATCCATAAGTCAATAACAAGACAAGACTGAAACCTGTGCAATGTGGTTATAATTGATTCAGATGTCTGGGTGGAACTTGTGCAAAGCATCTATGTCATCTGCTAAGAAGTGCACTTTTCCTCTCCCTGAAGATCTACCACTACACTTTTAACCAAATGGACATTTGCCTCATTAGTGTGCCGCTGAGCTAGCTGCGGTCCTTTCTAAGATGTCATACTTATGCCTATTAACATTGACACAATTTTGTGTCAGTGTTGTGCTATTAAAATTTTAAGGCAATGTAAACAAGATTTGCTCATTCAGCATATCTTTCCTCTGGTTAGATCATTACCTCTCACGGGGCCTACATCACTCTGTTATTTACTGGAATAAATATTAGAATATTAGATTTTAGATTTTTGCATGGGTGTGTATGCAGTGAGGTCGGCCTGCATCTCATCGTGCAACTAATGTGGTATGTGTCGATGTGTTTTGTGTGTCCTTATTGAAAATCAATAAAAAACATTGTTTAAAAAAAAAAAAAACTATACTAATCGAAATGACTGATGATGATGAAGATGAAAAAGATGATGACGATGACGACAGCCACAATCAAGAAAAAATCGAAGGACGACGGGACCAAAACAAAATGGTGCTTTGAAATTAATTTGAATCTGCAAAGTTATTCAATAAATGGAATATGAAGTACAATGTAGTGGAGTTATTTTTTTAAATAAAGTCCAGGGTCGTCTGCATAAAAGTTTAACTTAAAAACACTATCAGATATCTGAAAAAAACTCATCTGCGCATCAGATCTGTTACAGCACAGACTGCAGGTAGATGAACACCTGTTTTAAAACTCTGCTCAGTGTTTCACAGTCTGATAAACTCAGATTTCATCTTGTGAAACAACACAGGAGCTATTTTCAGTCTGGACCTGTTTGAACCAGTTTATCTCCCGTTTTGCTTCAGTTCCTCTGCTCTCCTCGCTGCTGCTCCGGCATCGTGCAGGTACGCTCATGTTTCAGGAGGTTCATCTCAGTTCATACACATCACCAAAAGTGTCCTGAGATAACTTCTGTTATGGGTGCTACACAAATTCAATGATTTGAATCAATCATCATCAATGTTACTCAGTCACAGCTGAACAAACAAAGCTTCTGTCTTTAGGACATTAAACCCTCACTGTTTGTTTTGTCTCTCTGTGCCTTCCGGGTATGGAGGACCACGAGTGTCACAGCATTCGATTAATTGATAACCAACTGTACTATAACAATATGCATAAATACATGTGTAATAAATGTGATTCAATATTTTATAGTTTAATGGGAAATAAAAAGAGGAATTATAAAAAATTTACATTTCTATCAATAGTTCAAATTAGAAAGCAATTTACAAAAACAACATAATCTAGTTAGGAAGCTCAAAGTAAAACTTGGCTTTTATTTTAGAAATAAATTTTTACTTTTAATGGCAAGAAAATACTTTTTACGGCGCTTTGATTCAGAGAACTATACATCTCTTTGTTTCATTACAAAGTCCCTCATTCACCATCGCATTCTTCATGATTTTGTGAGTTGGACATCACTGACCACTTTTATGACACGCAGCAAAGGGCCACAGGTGGGATTCAAACTCTGGGTCGCTGCAGCAAGGGCTCAGCCTTGGTGACGCCCCAGCAGTGTGTTCAACGTCTATATTGTTATATTTCTGTTTTTATAGGATGACTAAAAGTTGTTGGCTCGCCACCTTCAGATTATTTCTGTCTGAAGAGTACTGTACGTGTTACTGTAATCACAATACTTTTAATGTAACTAATTACATTTTCAAATTTAATTACACAATTATAATCACTGACACTTAAATGAGCTTGTTACTGCAAGTAGTGACGACTGCAGACAAACGCAGCTCATCCCAGACAGCGCAGTCCATTCATCAATTATTATTGAATAACTAATGACTGTACAGTACTGAATCCTCCTGTCTCCCAAGGTTACTTTCACCAGTAACTAATTACTTATATCAGTAATTAATTTACCTTTTAAAGAAGTGTACCATCATAGATTCTGCTTATCTGTCCGATTCTTTGTCAGTTCCCTTATTGATTAATGATCAATTATCTGCGTGTAAACAGGAGGCCAACACAGATTTTTAGTAACAACTGTTGTATTTGAGTTTGAGTTTCTTCCTGAAACGTTTGGACCGATTCATCCTCCATCATGCCGTCTGGTTTCCAGCAACAGACAAGAGTTTAATGTCATTGTTATGTTAGACGGTCAGAAAAAGCTGCCGCCGTTGATAGAGGAATTGATAAGCTTGTATGACTCCAGTGGATCGGACAGTCTGGAACTGGTTCCCTGTTCCCAGTCACTGAGTGCTGGTTTTACAACAGGTCGGAGCAAGAACTTGTCCTGAAAACTACAACAAGAGCTGAGATAAGGAGATAAGTTTCTATTTCTGCTCTTTGCAGTCAAACATCAGATCAGATGGAGGATAAGAGAACAGACAGATGAGGGTGAAAGAAAAACAATCTGAGTTGATCCAGACTGTTCAGGACCTGGAACATTCCCAAGATTCAATCTGTTTTCACTTTTACAAACCTTTACATCTCGTACTGTCTGTGCTGTATGGTCCCGTATGGTCTGTTATACAGATAGAACATTGTTACCGGCTGTGGTAAGCAGCTAACAGAGCTAACTCTGGAAAAGCACCGTCTACTGACCATCCGTCAAAGCTCTATGGATGTATTGATTATTAAGACCTACGTTTCTAAACATCCAGGAGATGAAGCGGTGTAGTGGTGCGCGGGTTAGAGAGCAGATCCTCTCCGACCGACTCTCCAACCGGCTGTGAGATGAATGAGCTGCACTTGGCAGAGGACACTTAAAGGCCTGAAATCTCCAACAATAACAAACCGTCAGCCACACAGATGCATGCTGGGAGCAGCTGAGAGCCAAGGTGTCAGAATGATTCTGTCTTCCATCAGGAAATGTTTAAAAAACAGGAAATGAGAAACAGAAGAAATCTCTGTTTTCTTTCAGATCCTCCGCTGATTTAACCGACGCTGCCATCTTTCCTGAACCTTAAAACCAGATCATTATATTACTATGTATTGTATCTTTATGGATGATGTTGAT